CAGGTCGCCAGTGTGAAGCACGACTTTGGCGCCCAGTTAAGTACCGCTGACGCAGGTTGGAGCACGGCTATGGCGCCCAGTTAAGTACCGCTGACACAGGTATGACCTCCACCCCTCTTCTTCTTCTTCTTATTATTATTATTCTTATTCTTCTTCTTCTTCTTCGTCTCTTCTCGTGGTTGTTGTTGTCCTCGTTCAGGTCGCTAGTGTGGAGCAAGGCTATGGAGCCCCGTTAAGTACCGCTGACGCAGGTATGTGTTGGTGTTGGTGTTGTTGTTGTTGTACAGGCCGCCAGTGTGGAGCACGGCTATGGCGCCGAGTTAAGTACGGCTGACGCAGGTATTGCCTCTGCGTCTCTTCTTCTTCTTTTTCTTCTTCTTCTTCTTCTCGTCAAATATTGCTATGGATTGCTTTTTTTGCATCTTTTGCAGTGAAAGTACCTATGGTACCAGTTCATATGTGGTTACCTKAAGCTYGTGTAGAAGCACCTGCAATCAGACTCGTCTTATTCCCACTTTTCATGTATGTAAACAGCAGCACAGCACACTGGCGACATGCGCCCACTCAGAACTCAGAGATATGGCTTCCAGATACGAGTTCTCTTTCAACTGGCTATGGCGACTTAGCGCCCAAACAACTCACTGTTCACACCCTGAATCACCCTGGATATCCCACACACGTCACTCTGAACACTCACACATGCACACACACTCTTCCCACGAACTATAGCTATGGGAGCTATGGCTGCCTCTAACCTATCGCTATGCTAACTCCTCCTCTCTTGCCCACTGCGTCCTCCGGGCCCCCTGCAGACCTCCTTGCACAAGTCGCTGTGGCAGCGCTTCCGCATGGCTCACGCAGGAATGAATGAATGGCTGGGCGCTGCCTCTTGATTTATACTTCAGGAACTCGTTGGTCTGCCCTTTGCCATCGGCCCATGGTGCTCACAGTCCCCCGTGGTACTTGCTGGACCGGACTGGGACTGACTTGACCTTACCGCTGATGGACTGTGGACTTACTGCTATCCTACCGACGTTGTACTGCTATTGCATTGCAGTTTAGTCCACCACTTGCCTCGCCACTTGACCACTTGCCCACTTGCCTACCTTCTAGAAGGACTACAGCTCAGCTTCTGGAACCCACTGACTTCTATGCTATAGACCTACAGATCGAACCCCTGCTGCCTATGGACCTACGACAGACCTACCAACTGTCTACGAATACACAGGTCAAAGGTTCAATTCTCGGGGTCTACACGGATACTGTACATGGGTAGGGTGAGGTCTAGGGATCGAACCCTGGTGCTGCATCGRCTACTGCTAAAAGGTGAAGACCGTTTCACTCCCGCTGTCCTAAATTCGAGGTCCTCCGCGAACATTTCAATCCAAGGCAGGACCTTTACCTTTCTGTTCTCTTTCGTAGGCTCTGACTATATCGGGAGTTGTTTCTAGAAGTTCCGATCTTGTAAACCAGCGGTCATCCTCTGGTTCCTGATATGCAAAGCGGACCTTGTACTGTTTCTGAGGACGACCTTGACCTCCTATTCTAAACACATCCTCCTCTACAATGCCCTCTATGTCRTAGCTCCCATCCATATCCGGAGGGATCATGGATCTTCTAGAAGGGAACTGTTGGCTTGTAACACATGGCAACAGCTTTGAGGCATGGAACACAGGATATGTGTGGAGGTGTAYTGGGATCTCTATRGTGTATGATGGTCCATCCTCTCCGCCSTTGTGACTTCTAGAACCGGCCACGGTCCTCTATATGYAGGCAGTAACTTCTGCGAGATGTTTTCTTCAGGYGCRAACTCTTTTGCCTTGACCCAGACTAAGTCGCCTACTTGAAACTGTGATGGGCGACGGTGCTTGTTAGCCTGCTCTATCATCCTGTGTTGGGCCTTTCTAAGGTTCTCAACAGCAGTTGCTAACTCTTTCTCGTGCTGTATTGCAAACTCCCTGGTACCGGGCGGTAGCCTGTGGATCTGGTCCCGGTTCAGTCCTTCGAATGGTCTGCGCGGTCTAAAGGACTTGTGCAGCTCATTGGGAGTGCGGCAGGTGGATGGATGCACGCTGTTGTTGTATGCACTAGCTACCTTAGGCAACATCTCATCCTAGTTGATCTGATCTGGTCTAATATACATGCGCAKAACTTGTTGTAGGATCTTGTTCATCTGTTCTGTCTGAYCGTTAGTCTCTGGGTGGCGGCCAGACGACATCAATAGCTTAGATCYGTAAACTCTCATGAGTTCTTGCCAGTTCTGGCTGGTGAAACGACTATCTCTATCACTAACTATTGACAATGGGATTCCATTTTCGCTAACCCAAAAGTCAAAAAASTTATGTATAACTAAGTCCGTACGTGCCTCTGCAGGCAAAGGAACAAAAACAGCATACTCACTAAATCGGTCAACTATGACCATGACTTGGCTTTTGCCATGTCTACTCTTGACTTGGGTGTCCATGAAGTCTATGGACACTGAGTCTCCCGRCTGATCCGGAATAGGCAAGGGTCTGAGAAGACCAAGGGGCGCACGTRTAGTAGACTTATTCCTCTGGCACACTTTACAATTGCGGACATACTCTATGCAGTCATTCTTCATCCCTGGCTAGGTATACGCACACATCAGGTTGGCTAATGTCTTTTGCCATCCGAAATGCCCTTYAGTATCGTGGCATTCCCCTAAAATCAAACTGCGGATCTCTTCGCTATTGGGAACGCACAGGCGGTCGAACACATTAGTCTTCTCAAACAGTAACTCGTCTGTAGTGCGGTAATCTGGTTCAGTCTCTGGGGCCTCTCTAACTCTCTTTAGGAGGTCGCTATAGATAGGGTCTTGTGCATACGCTTGCTTCACTTTTTCTTGCAGGTCTTTCCCTATATCCAGATAGTGTACTACAGCTCCAAAGCAGTCTGATCTCCTACTCAGAGCATCCGCAACTACGTTATACTTGCCCTTTACTGGCTTAAGCTCAAAGTCATATTGGTCTATTTCTGCGGCCCACCTAGTTAACTTAGGTGTCATCTTGGCCTGTGTCTTCAACCAACGAAGTGTCTCGTGGTCAGAATAAACTTTGAAGTGCCTCCCAAGCAGATAGTGCTTCCAATGATCTAAAGCCTGCCTAAGAGCGTARAGTTCTCTCTCGTATGTGGAGGTAGCGACCTTCTCACAGGGCATCCTCGCTGACATGAACTCTACGGGTCTATAGCCATTGTCGTCATCTTGGTGCAACACGGCGCCTATCCCATACTGACTCGCGTCCGTGGTGACGACGAATGGCAAAGACGGATCTGCAACTTTGAGGACAGGGTACTCTATTAACGCGCTCTTTAACTTCTTGAGCGCAGACGTACAATCTTTGTCCCATTTCCAGATTGCCTCTTTCTTCAGCAACTTGCACAAGGGAGCGGTGATAGTGGAGAAGTTCCTCACGAACTTCCTGTA